TAGTGCTTCCTGTAACTAGGAGCATTGCATCAATGGGTGTTGATTTTATCCCTCCAGTAATTAGTCGTAATGCTTGGTTGTGTGCCTTCTCGAGTGGTTTGAGAGTCACCTCTGTGGCTTTAATGAGAAGGGGGTTTATGCTGTGATGGGCCAAAGAAAAGGTTTGGAATGCAGTTTTTGCAGTGTTGATTACCATTCCATTGTTGTCGCACCAGTTTGCTAGTAGTTTAAGTGCACCATTTAGGGCACTTTCTGTCCTCTCCTGAGCGTTTTTCTTAAAGGCGGAATACCATAGAGCAAGATCATCTGCATAAAGTAAGCACTTGATCCCCGTGACTGTCTGTACCGATTCGGCTATGTCATTGATGAAGACATTGAAAAGAGTGCAGCTTGTGACAGCTCCCTGTGGAAGACCTGTTTGTAAAAGATTGGATTTTGATAGAGCATTTCCGTATTTGACTTTACACAATCTTTGTTCAATGAATGATTTTATCCAGTTTAGCATGTTATGCTTAATACCAATCTTTTCCAATTTTAGAATTAGTTTCTCTTTCCATACTAAGTCATATGCTGATTTGAAGTCGACGAAAACAGCCGTACGGGTGTTTCTTGCATCAAGGGCAACTTTGATGTGTTGGGGGAAAGTGGCTACTTGTTGATTCGTTGATCTTTGTGGCCTTTAACATGCTTGTTCACTCCTAAGAATATTGTTAGTCTCAAGGAACGAGCCTCTTGTTAACCATTCTTTCCATAAGTTTATCCAGCACCGCCTCCTGTTAACCATTCTTTCCATAAGTTTCGCCAGCACATAACCATTCTTTTTATAAGTTTAGCCAGCAACCTTGTGAGGGAGATAGGCCTATAGTTGTGAAATTTGCTAGGGTCTTTGCCCCTTTTTAATACTGGTATTACTATGGCAACTTTCCATTGGTTAGGTGCAAGTCTGGTCTCCCAGATTTTGTTGTAAAGCGTCAGCATGGTTTCCTTGGCTTTTGGTCCCATTCTAATTAGAAATTCTGGATGGATACCGTCTTCGCAAGGAGACTTCTTGCACTTTAGCTGTTTTATCGCATCATTAAGTTTGCAAGGTCTGAAGGGTTCAGTAAGTACATTATTTGGTGTTGCTATGTCTTCCTTAATTTCACCAAACTGTCATACTTGTATCTTTAAATCTCTTGAAGATTTTCTGACAAAAGGGTTTTTCTTTTGCTTGTGGGAATAGAACCTGGAAAAGCAATTAGCTATTTCGGTGTCGGTGGTAAGCAATTTGCTGATTAAGCATAATGGTTCTTTCTTGGATCTTTCTCTGTTGTTTTGCAGCTTTCTCAGAAATTTGAAAGTGCGTTGATAGTTGTTAATAGAGATGAACTTGTCGAAGGAAGTGCGTTTAGTTTGTAAGATGGCTTGCCTTAGGACAGCTGATTGTCGTCTCCAGGCTTGTACGTCTTCCATTCTTCCCGTCTGATCAGCAGTGTTGCGAAGGGCGTCCCTCTTTCTTTTCAGTTCCTCAAGGTGTTTGGACCAAAACACTCGATAATGTTTAGTCTTGCCTCTAGGAATAGTTTTCTTTGCACATCTGATCATAATATTCGTGATAGCAGTGCAAAGTTTGTCAGGATGTTGTTTGAAGTTGAGGGGACTTGTGTGAAGTTCATTCACTAAAAGGTTTGTGAATCTAGGCCAGTTAGCCTTCTTGAAGTTCCATGATAGCTTAGTTGGCACTTACCTTGACATGCTTTTGCTGCTTAAAAGATAATGTAACTATAAAGAGAAACATCATGAGGAACATAGTGGCAGTGTTGATAGTACAAACTTAAAGCAGGTTTAGCAATTTATCAAAAATAATGTTGACGCGAAAAATGCGGGCAAACAACTCAATGAACACAGGCGAATAATTCTGATTTTACTTTACATTTCCATAGTTTAATAGTATAAACTACCATAATTTAAATGAAACAAATACATTGTTCTTGAAACTAAGTGTTCGGAAAAAAATTACCGGTGATTCACATTGTAGAACCTGAAATGCAATGACAATATAGTTTATAAAACCATCTCAATTGTTCAATGTGAAAGTTACAGTCAAAATGGCGCAGAATATGGATAGTGACAGACCGATTATTTAAGGGATCTCGCTGTAGTCGAAGATGAATCAAAAAATATCAAAATATTTCGACTGTCCTCATAATGACCAATTCTCCGCTGTTCAGTTGAAAGATGTACACGTCTTTGATACAAATGGAATAAATCTGTGAGTATTTGCTGGCGATAATTCTAGCCCAAAGAATAAGTGCGATTAAGTGCCGATTGTGACAGGCTATACCACTCGTTGATTAGACCAGCTTTTGTTAGACTTGATAGGTTGGTTAATTCAAGAGATGCCAATTCAACGTCTTTATGGCAAAGAAATCGTTTATGCTTTCAAAATTCTTCTCAGAGAATCAAGCAAACGTTTTGAGCATCCAAGGAATGAAGAAATTAAATACGAGTGGCATTAAATCTGAATTTTAGTACTTAACTCGTCATCGAAACCAAGTCACCTTAACATAGAGTTAATTCTCACACAGCTGATGATTAAACAATCCGAGCTTCCATTTACCATAAACATACTTTATATTCGATAGCACAATCACGCTCTACTTATCCATTTACAAATCAAAAATCAATTGAACTTAATACACACTTATTCAGGTTCAATGATTCATGAAACCAATCTTTGTCTGGCTTGATATTCATAATAACAAAAGCCAATCCAATTTAGCATTGACTCCTTCTTTGAAAGCATTCGTTAACATATTGAACCACGTTTGTACATTTTTTGGACATGAAACATTTGAAATGATTTTTACTATTGTAAATAAAGATGGAAAGATTTGTGTAATTTATGTTCTGTGCCTACAGAAACCCGTATATTGTTGCATAAAGGATACGGAGGGTTTGGTTACTTAAAAAATATTACAGTTCAATCTTAGGGGCTTTTGTCCACTTGTTAAAACTCAATATTTAATTAATGGAATTGTTAACTTTTAACGTTATTCTGCCTTAGATCACATTGGATAGCCACGATATGATTATGCAACATTTATTACATTAGGTTCATGAACATTCCAATATTTCAATCAATTTTTTTATTTAGAAATTATAATACTCTAGGTAAATATAAATGAAGCTCACAATTAAATTTAATTACTCATCAATTATAAAAATCGCCTCTAATTTAGAAAGATCCATATTAAAATAGATGATAGACAACGATACAGATTTGATTAGCAGTACTGTTAAAAGATGGAAATTTTATGTTCCAAACTCATACTAAGAAAATGATTTCTCAAACGAAGTCAGAAAAACACAAAGGAATTGGAATAAATCTTCCCTTGTAAAGGAGAATTTCAGTCCTCCTTACATTTATAATAAGCCAGTTTGGAAAATTTTTGAAAAAAAATGGGGAAAATAAACTTGCATTAGTTGATGTATAATCTCCACAACATTTGCATTTTTCGTGACTGGCATTAGCATAAATATGTGGCAAAATATTTGAAGTAAATATGGCCATGAATTCAACTGAAATAAGCTCATTTTGGTTGCCAAATTGTTGACTCATATGTTAATATATTACTAATGATTTTGCCATGTTTGCTAAACCATTTGTAACAATGTCTTGTTGTTTCAGTTTAAATTATCTAAGCGTTATTTTAGAGCCCAATATGATTGAGCATATATGAATGGAAGAAAGGGTGTTGTTCATCCGAACTTTATGCAGCAGTGTTAAAAATTTTTCGATCTCATTAAATTTAACCTATTCAAACTGTGAAAGCAAACGGATTGAGAAAAAAACATTCTACATTGTTTTAAAGCCATTTATTGAGTACTTGCCGATAAATAACAACATTTGACCTTCGCGTCTGAAATCTGAATAAATTTGTTACTACCATGGATGAAAAAGTAAAAATAATTTCAAGTTATTAATAGAACTAAAGTGTACATTTATAGATGCAAGTCCTTTTGACAGAATATGTTCGTGTTAGCCAAAACTTGCATTTAATGCAATTTAATACTACAATTTCTTAACATATGATTTGGATAAGTCTTTTAATTTGTTGTTCAATTTTGGAACATTTAATTAACACTTTTGTTGCTCTTGAATGCTTGAAAAATCGCTTCGATCGCAATTAAAGCGCCTTCTCGCATAGCTTTGATTCCTTAATGCGACCAAACCTATCAAAATAAATTTCAATTTAATATCAAGAGCTAATTCGGATTATTAATTAGTGAATAATTATTGAAGAAACTAATGTGAAGATGGTCAAACATCCACGTTGTACTTGGAATGGATGGGTACATTTTATAATGTACGAATTTCTATGCCGTAGGGACATATATTTAAGCATGACAATGAAAAGTTAAGAAACAAGGATTCTATTAGTTAGCATAGCTGTAATAAGGACTTACTATTTGTTGCTTCTAATTTTAATTTGCCCACTCGTTAGAGGATATAAGACGACTATCGCCTCCAACCTATTCAAGCGATCTACAATTAAAATAATTTTAAATTAATCAATAAGAATGTATCTCGATATATTTATTAGATCAAATGTTACTTAATTAAATGCTGTTTAGATTTGACAATGTGATTCGGAGTTACTAATTAGAGATATTCTTCCGACTTGAGCACATTTCCCACACATCCCCTTAGGTTTGCGTTTTGAGGAGCCATAGATTTTTCCCTTGTGGAATCGCCATCCTACGTCTTTCTTAATCGAATTTTATGAAGAAATGAAATGCCTTTGTTCTACCAAATGGGGATGATTTGCTCATTCACTAGAGCCCATGTCACATCCTTTGATTGACGTCAATCATCTGAAGTAATAACCAAATTTAGCCTATTAAGAATTTTCATGAAACAATGCATTATTTTAAAATCGTTCGTCGTGACTAACTTTTCCCCGATCATTCAATAATTCATCATTAACCATGTAAAAATAATGCCAATTTTTCAAATGGTATACATAATTGTAACAAGCAGCAACAGTATAAATGAATTATTATTTATTTTTATCAAAAATGTGTGGAACACATCATCACTTAACGTTTCACCACATGCACGCACGCTAGGATTGGTAGGTGCGGCAGTACAACTCTCTTCGCAGACAACCGCATAACCAGTGGCAATTCCTAAGCGATGCTGATCATGACTAAGCTCCCTGCGTGTGCACTTTGTTCAGAATGTCCTTAGTGAATAAATGCGTT